TGAAAGCAGATTTTGTTTTCTGTCTTAAACCGGATTTAAGACTAACTGTGGTTTATCAATTTGCAAACAGTGGAGACCTTCGATGCTATTTGAATGATCACTTTTCAAAATTAGATTGGCCAACTAAAATTAGAATGGCAAAAGAAATTTCTAGTGGGATTGATTGTTTGCACAGTGCAAATATTGTTCACAGTGATCTTGTAAGAGATATTTCTTTATTTAGTTTGTCGTTCTTTGTTATGATTAATATTAACATAATATAATATTGATAGCATGATAAAAACATATTAGTAAACGATGGTAGAATGATTATTACAGACTTTGGTTTATCTAAGTTATTAGATAACAGCACAAAATCCATAACAGGAGGAACATGTGCCTATTCTGATCCACAATATCTTCAAAGTCCGTTCATGTATAGGCGAAACAAGCCTTCAGATATTTATAGTCTAGGCGTTCTTTTTTGGGAACTTTCAAGTGGTATACCTCCTTTTAAAGCCTTGAAAGATTTAATGGAAGTAACACTTCATGTAATCAAAGGTAATCGAGAAACTCCAACTGAAGGAACCCCTATTGACTTCAAAAATCTTTATTGCGCTGCTTGGAGTGTTGAACCAGATAGTCGTCCTGACATTAAAGAAATTTGCAATAAGTTAGATCATATGCGATTGGAACCAGTTTATCAGAATATTAATATGAATACTTTGAACTATAAATACAAAGGTAATTAATGATTTAAAGACTTTTAAAGACTTTTATATTTTATAATTAAGAATAAAATATTATTTATCAATAAAAAAATTCACATTATTAAAGATACAAATGTCGATCCGACACCATCCTTAAGTGCTGTTCCATTCTCAAAATTTACGAAAATAAACGACATAATAAATATTACAGAAGAAATAACACCAATATATCAGTCAGCCGAACATAATAAACGTATTAGTAAATCATTATCTGAAAGGATTGTAGCAATTGAAACATCACTTCGATTATTAAAAGCATATAAAGATGAACACAGAGAATTTTTTAACAAGCAAAATTTTGTATCCATACAAAAACTTTCAGATATTATTCAAAAGATGAAAACATTCATTAGCGAAATAACACAGTTAAAAGGACTGCGAAAATATTGTCAAACCAAATCTATTCAAACTATATTTTATGAATTAACGACAGAATTTGATAGGTGCATTAATACGTTAAATTTTATTAATACTGATAACATAAAAAGTCGTACAGAGCATGAAAAAGAGATCATAGATAATGATCTTGAAGAACTTAATCAGGTGCTTTATTCTTTATTATTATTTCTTATTATTTCTTATTATTTCTTATTATTTCTTATTGTGGATAGTTAATTTACAAGTAGTATTTTAAATAATCATATGTTATCAGTATCTTTTCAAAATAGGTGGTGGCATTACTGATGAGAATTATAACATAAGTGAGACTATCAATGAAATAAATTTGGTCAAAAAATTTATTTGGGATTCAAGATCTAATCGAGAAAATCGAGAGCAAATTATGGAAATTATTGAGGATCAAAATAAGCTGCTTGAACTTGCTGATTTTATAGAAACAGATGAAATACGTGGAAAAAAAGTTAGAAAGTACATTCGCCTAGTTGATAACAAAGCTGTCGCTTTTAAATTCGTATCTGATGAATCAGATACTATAAATGTTCAAAATGAGATTCGAAAGCATGTTGCTATTCTAATGAAGCTTAAGGATTGCCATCAGATAATTCAATTTCATGGCCTTATTTCTGACGACGAAGACGAAAAGCTTTATTTAGTGACTGAGTGGGCTGAACGTGGCAATTTACGAGAATTTTATATGAATTACCGTTACGGTGGCCCTATTGACGTTAGAAAAAAATTAAGTATTGCAGTTGATATTGCTCGAGGATTGAACTTTTTGTTGGCTGTAGAGGTGATTTCATTTGTCATGATTTTTATATTAAAATTTATTGAACTATATATTTAAATAGATAAATATTCAGATACTTCACCAAGACATCAGGCCGGAAAACATTTTGATAACTGCAAACAAAACTGCAAAAATTGCCAACTTTCTATTTCGTAGATACGTTAGAACTGTTCGCTACGCTGCCCCTGAAATGTTATATGGATATAATAATAAATATAATACTAAATGTGAAGTCTACAGGTGTTGTTTGCTTAAATATACCCTTTTCTCATATTTGTAACAAATAATTACTATTTAATATTAATAATTTTTTATTACAATTACTATTATACTGTATAACGATTAGTTTCGGTATTCTTTTATGGGAGTTAGCAGAACAAAGAATTCCATATGAAGACCTCGATGATATTATGGCAATTAAAGATCGTGTATATAAGGAAAAATATCGTGAACCATTCACAAATTATTCTGGGTTACCAAAAGAATATAAGGATATCTCTAGAAAAGGTTTGAATTTTACCCTATCTATTTATTTCAATTCTTTCAATATCATAATTCATTCTTTTATAGCTGTTGGTGCTGATCCAGAATTTAGACCAACTTTAACAGAAATGTTTAAAACTCTCCAAAATCTACTTGAACCATCAAATACTCCAAATTTTTCCTCTAAAATACCTTATAAAATTAATGATATTTCGCCCATATCACATATTTATAATAATGAAAATAATTTCCAAGATGATAAAATTCATGTTGCAGAGACTATCAACTTTGCTGAATTTAATTATATGACAATGAAAGAAGCCATATCAACTCATCGTGCTACTAATGGTAATTTGGAGATGGCATTCAAATGTTTCAATGCATATGCAAAATTAGGTACACAATTCAATTAGTAAATTTTTGTTGATTTATTGTCTAGTTAAATATCTAAAATAAATAATTATTTAAAAATCTACAAAGTTGTTTATTAACTTTATACGTAATTAATTTTAGGGAATTTAATAGCAAAATACTTTGTTGGTTATTACCTTTACAAAAAGCTAATAAATACTCCTTATACAGAAGAAGAAAGAGAAAGGCGTGCTGCTCAATTGTTTAAAGAAGTTGCGGATGCAAGTGATGAAGTACCTGATGCACAATTAAAATACGTGTTATGTTTATTTAATGGTATGGGCGTCGATAAAAATTATTCAGAAGCTGCAAAATATTTTAAGAAAGCTGCTGATAATGGACTTGTAGTTGGCATATATAATTTTGGAAATATACTTTATGCTGGCCTTACTGGTGTTAAAGATGAAGAATTAGGTGTGAAATATATTAGAAGAGCTGCTCAGAAAAATCATACAGAAGCCATTGAATTTTGTAGAAAAAAGAGTGTTTCTATCATTTAAATATACATTGTTACTGGTTCTTATCATTGTTATAAAGCTAAATAATAATGAAAGTGAATATTATAAAAAATATTATAAGAATAAGCGAATTCTTAACCTTATGTTTAGGCGAGACCAACATTTTTTTTAAAAGGGGATGTAGCGTAGCAGTCAGACCTCTCTAAATGCATAATGTCGGGACCATAGTAAAAAATTGAAAAAATATGCATTTAAAAGGTTATGCATTTAGGGAGTTAAAAATCTATAAGTGTTATATTAGTTGGGCCCAAGAAAAGACATGCATTTAGGGAGGTTTTTCATATATATGCATTTAGAGAGGTTGCATTTAGGGAGGTCCGACTGTACATAGTAAATTTTATTAAATTTTTTTTTCAATTGGAAATTATCGGCCTGACCTTGCTCGTATTTTATGTTCGTTCGTTTTCCCTTCCGAATTTTTCGGAGCCTTACAATTTCTAATCTTGATTCCTCTTGCATTAGCTCTCCGGCCAAATTATACATTAATATCCCAAAATTTTTTTACTAAGAGAGAGGGGGGAGGTCAAAAGGGGGTAATGTAAACTACCAAAGCAAATTGGTCTGACCTTATTAACTTCAATATATGGGCTAATCCGTTCTAACTTGGCACAATCAAGGTTAATATTCTCAACATATATATGACTCAATATTCATGGTTTTCTTGGTGTAAGTTCTGGCCTCAATAATGTTATGACTAACTGGGGCTAGAACTTATTTCAATATAAAATTTTTAAATATTTCAGGGTGTATTTTTTAGTTTTTTTTATGGTATATAGTTATGATTTATAGTCAGAGTCAATAAACAAATATAAGTGGACTATTTAAATAGACAACTTAAAGTTGTTGTGTGACTAGTATGTACTCTTTAAAATTATATGCCAAGAACGAGCAGCAACTTTGCAATAAATTTAGCATATATATACTAATAAATGCTGCTAGCTATAAAGCTACTTTGAATATTAAAAAAATTATTTACAAAGATTAAAAATATATATTATTTTTAGTTGTTTTATTATTATTACAAATTTGTATTTTATTTATATTTGAATTTTTTTTGATTTTGCTGTATACATGATAAGATAAGTTACAATCTTTTCTATCACAATGATATATTAATTCTAACTATCTATCTATGTCTTATATAACCATTTTTGTGTGGCAATTATATCTAATTTTCTATTAAAGAACTAATCTAAATTACAACTAGTTATAGGAATGGGAAAGGGGATCTCCCAACTAGTGCTTTCTGTATTACTCACTTTTAAACAGATGACCTAGTTTTCTTCAGATT